GAATCAGCATCCTCTAAAGGACGACTAGCAGCATATGAACCTGGAAATAGAATAAAATATAAATTATTTTAAAGTTTTATTAAAATTAAAAGAAGAAGAAGAAGAAGAAGAAGAAGAAGAAGAGAAGACAGCAAGTACGTAAACAAAACAATGAAGAACTCTACTACATGGATGGGTCAAAAATGAATCATAATCATGAAAACACCAAAAAAAAATGGAAATTGAACAACAAAAAGCTTGACAACAACTAAGAAAGTATGCCATATTAAAATCACAAGGCAACTCACCAGGAGCAGACTGCAACGGCTTATGAGATTCTTTTTGAATATCACCAGTAGGTTTTGCCTGTAATGAATAGCTAGTTAGTTTTAAAGCCCAGCAAACAGAAGAAAAAACCTTGAATGTGAAAATAAGAAAAAGGTTATAATGTGCAAACATCTTACATTTACATTACCAACAGTAACAGAGTTGCCATTCTCCTTTATCTGTTGAACACTAGATTTTCCCACAATTGTTTCGCTCTCCTGAATAGATTTTTGAGGACCCAAATTGGAAACCTCTCTTGGCTCCACATAATGAGGGGCTTTCCAGGTATTTACATTTGCCGAAATGTTAACTACCTTACGAGAAGAACTGGCTGCTCCAATAGGTGGCTCCTGATCTTTATTCCTATGAACAACACCATGGCCCATAACATTAAAATCACCATACCCTTCATTATCGGACATAAAATCAGAAGCCAACCCAGTTTCACTGTCCAATGCTGCCACATTTCTGACCTGCTGTCCAGTATGCTCACTTATCTGCAAATACATTGATTGATTTTCCACCAGAGTTTGGTTGAGGTCTCCATACTCATCATCCTCGGCAACAAATTCTCTAAATTCTGCATGTTGATCAGGGCTCTCAGAAACGTCTACACCTCTACCAATCCTGTCAAACACACTTCCTGCTGATTTAGTTTTTACAACATCTTCAGCAGCTTCAGCGACAGCTTTTATCGCAGTTGCCAGGGGATTTGGCACCCTTGCAATAGAATGAAGCCTTCGAGAATGATCAGGCAATGATGAAACTCCAGACGACATTGACACCACAGAACGAAGACGCTTCAATGAGGGCTCCTTTGGGGAATTAGCTGGCCTTAAACTTTCCACAGCATCTCGCACCGCAAACTGAAGTAGTCGACGAGGGGCATCAATGTTTGCTTGAGGAACAGCTTCCCTCTACCATGAATTTCATAGAAAGATCATAAAACAAGGCCGAAAAAAAAAAGAGGGAAGAATGAAAAACTACATAAACTACAAATACTGGCATAAATTGAGAAACCTTTTCTACAATACAGAGACATATCTACATCTATTGCTCAATCAAAACAAGAGAAAGAAGAATTTAAAGGTTGATACCTTTGTCTGTTGCCTCTCTTCAGTCCTGCCTCTTTTCTTCTGGTTTAGATGAGGCGAAGAGGATTTTCCATAGCTTACTTTGTGAGGTGTCCTTTCCTCAAATTGAATATTGTTCACTTCAGAGCTCCGAAGAGGAGGAGGATCAGCTGCATCTCTCACTAGTCCTTTCCACTCCCTTTTATGGCGGCTCCTATGTAACTTTATAGACTTAGCTCTCTCAGATTCAGAATCCACCTTGAAAGAATCACTTATTCCACCCTGCTCCCTCAACATGGAATTTGTTTTTGCAGATTCTTCAACTTGAGATTCCAAAGGGGGAACATAAAGGTCTAAATTTGAAGCCAGATGATCCCACAACCTGTTTATGTATAATTAAAAGCCCAAAAAAGGAAAGAAGTGAGAATAATAACTTTGTCAGTATTTCTGCATGCTCCCTCTCCCCAACTACCCCAAAGAAGGTAAATGGAATAAAGAATTTAAATACCAGGAAACAAAAGGATTGCTGTCATCCCCAAGAAATACATTCAACTCACTCCTTGCTTCTTCCTTGCGCCTACCATTTCTCAATAAGACAATCACATATTCCTGCCAATGAAAAACAAAATATTCAGAATATAATCAGATTGTACACACTGAAATTGTTAAATCAATTACATTTCTCAAGGGGCCACACTCTTGAATATCTCAGAGAAGAGAGTCAAACACCGTTTCTCACACTTATACATTCCATAATTGAAAACCCGTTGACAGCATATCATAGTCCTCCAAATACAAGGACCAGAATTATTATTACTAAAAGACCCTGGAATTCAGTTTAAACATACAGATGATACATTCAACAATCCATCTGCAAATCCCATCCTTTCGGCTATTGATGGATACATAAAAAAATAAAAAAAAACGGAAGGAAGGACACGTTTTAAAAGCTACGCAGTCTTAAAACTAAAAATTCAATAGTAAACTAGTCTAGTTAACAGGGCAGGAAGCATAAGGGTTAAAATAATAACGAATTCCCCCATAAGCCTAAAGTTGAAAGAAAAGAAACAGAAGCAACGCATTCCTATCTACAAACTACCAAAAAGGGGAGCACAAAGTTGTTGTTGGGGACAAAAATCAAGCAAAGGAATTGAAATACACAATCTCAGAAATACATAGGAATCAATACAGAAACCAGCAAACTTATAAAAAATCCCACAAACATAAAGAAGGAAGGAATAGATAGAATATTAATGAAGTAAAAAGGAGTACATACCACAAGAGTATCGTCAGTGTAATCCCCCATAAACTCCTTGAGTTTATCCCTAACTCTTTCTCTCAACTTAGCAGCTCCATCTCCACTGAAATTAACCCTAAATGTCAAATCATCAACTCGATCGACGCTTCCCATGTCCAACAACAACTCAGAACCCTAATTTCGGCCGTATAAAAAATAAACAGACAATCCCGATATTAAGAGGAAATGCAGCGGTGAGGGAATTTCTCGGAAAAGAAGAAAGGCGGTTGGGAAACAAAAATTTTGCGGAGTCTCCTCCGGTTACGGTTGCGGGCGGGGCTCAGGGCGACAACACAAACAAAACTAAACCGGAAGAGGTCGAGTGGGAGAAAGAATGAAACATAAGCAAACGAAACCCAATCTCTGTGTATGTATTATGGATCTGTACATGAATGAACAAAGGAATACTGAATAAAAAAAAAAAAAGAAATTTTCTACTTAAATTTTTTATTTTTAATTAATGAAGCCCGTAGGCCCACAAACTTGATCCATCCATCTTAGTATAGGGTCTCAATTCGACAGTGGATCCAATGGAACTGGGCCTATTGGGTTTCTTCTAGAAGTCTTATCTTATATATTAATAATAATCACAGTTTGCTTACCTACGTAAACGCAAACGTAAACACGCCAGCCAGACCGAGACATTGAGTGACAGGTTCACAGTTTCTACCGAAAAATATAAAAAAA